TCTCATCAGGCATCTCCAAGACATCTTCACATCGTCGGAAAACTTCCACGGCCTCTTCTGTTGTAGTAAGTGTCCTCGTATCGATGTTGAGTGCTGAAGCGCGTTCTTCAACCAATCCCATAAGGAATTTAAGGTCTGATAACCGCTTTTTGTGTTTCTTTTCTCTTAGATCAACGCTCTTCAGTCTACGAAATTAAGGCAGAGATCTTGCTGGGTCTCCACAGCACCAAAACACCCATGCTTGCTCGGTAGTGCCTTCTGGTAGCGCAACATCTTCCGGAAAGGCGTGGAAACCCCCGCCCCAGGTGTACAATGAGAAATTATTGCTGGTTTGATGGACTGTTGTTGCTACTGGGGCTACACCAGGAGCATAATTTTCATCTTCATCCGGCCGTTGACGCACATAACCCTCCCTGTGAAGGCAGTCAATAACTGTAGTCGCTATTTGGTTGGAGTTTGGCGTATTCCGGACGTCTACCGCATCTTCCAGAGCTAAACGAACCCCAGCAACTACTTCGTTGACCACATTTTGCTGATCTACTTGCTGCTTTTCAAATGCAGCTTTTAAAGAGCGAAATTCAGATAGTAAAACAACATGTGGTGGTATGCCAGTAGCAGATATGTTGTCATCTCCATTTGGGGGGCCAAACTTGATAAAACCCTTTAGCACTTGCATCATCTGCTCATCGCGCATTAGTGGCGATTGAAAAATGGGGTGGTTACCAGGTAAATTCTCTTTCAAGTACTCGTAATGATACACAATCGAAGCCAGCGCAAATTCGCCAATTAGAGAAGCAGATCGAGGTAACTGGCGAAAGCCTATTCGTTTAGCAATCTCCACTTGCTCGCGACCTCCATGGAACCTTGGGGGCAAAGTAGCAAAATCAGCGTCAAGTATAGGCAAACCCGATACCGTACGACCAACGAACATATCCCCCGCGGAGTCGTGTCTTAAGTATCGATCTTGGACCCCGCCAAGGGCCCACCCAGCCCGTAAGTGGACAGCGATAGCAGGAGGACATGCAGTTGAACCTGACGAACAATAGGTAGCAGCTCCTTTTCTCATTGAATGCGTACCAATATCATCACAGTTTGTGCCACAGCGTTCCAATTCACCGGCCATGCCGGTACTTTCCAGAACTCGCCGAAGTGCTTTACGGAAGCGATCGTACTGGTCGTTTCCTGGAAATACGTGAGTTGCACTAGTCTCAATTCCATATACTAACCAGTACAAGCCTGCATGGATAGATTACTTTTTTAAAATTGCGAGTAACATTTTTTTTAGGAATGCCATGAACTGGTACGTACCGATTGCGAGAATTGGGCAAATTGCTGGCATCAAAGGGTTCGCATATATGTGCCGCGGATCTCTGGGGCGCGTGCCACGCTGGTCGTTCTTCATATGCGCGAAGAACACTCTAAGGGCATCTTCACCCCACTCCATGTGACTATAGCATAATGACACTGTATTCGCAGCTCGGGCCATCAAATTCCACGAGACTAAAAGAAATGTTCGAGCGAACACCATATCGCGCGACGAGGATTTCATCATTTCTTCAGCAATTCTACGATACAAGCCAAAAGTCATCGGGTCCTTGCCAACCTTAATTGAGCCATCACCACTACTAATTGCACCTGCAATTCGATGCTGCAGTCCTTTAAAATGACAGCTCAGCTCACGTTCTAGCTGAGAGGTCATGGTGCAGTGGTAGTCGCGAAACAGATTGTAAAATGCTGAACGATGTCCTGCGTAGGTGGAGAACGAATGATACCCTCCGCTCTTGTTTTTCACGGACAATATCCAAGCTAGAAAATCAGCCGCTTTCACGTCATTAAAAAGAAGCGGCGGATTCTCCGGTGCGGAAGAGAGTGCGGTGAGAATTGAAGTTTTAGTTGCCTCCGCCCCGTTTTCAAACCGTAGAGCGTCTTGAAAAGGTCTTGGCACTAGTAACGGCTTGTGACGCAGCATCCAAGTCAGCATTCGGACGGTAGAATTGAGGTAGCTTGCACGGGACTTTGTTGCAATTGTGCTGGCCCTAGTCAGGGCCACTTCTTCATCAAGCTCTGCCAGGTTGCTTGCGTCGTTTGTAGCCATCGGTAGCACTAATAGGAGAGAGTCGGAGTGACCGTTCGACACCTCTTTATTTTGATCGCCGGATGGCTGTCCGGTAATTTCCATTATTTGGCTGCTAGCAACAAATAGCTGTATTTTTGTATGGTAATTATTCACTATCTCGGAAAATACCGGAGGATTGTCCGGTAGCTGATAGTCAGCGACATCCTAATCTCCGGTAAATTCCAGGTAATTAAATATGATGCTCCTCCGATCGTATTGTGCGACTGCTGGCAATCGCAGCACGTCTATAGGCTCCTATAGAAATAACTGGAGCACCGCGACAAAAGTTATGGACAGCAGTTTATATTAACATTTGTATGGGAGGTGAGTGATGATAATTATGTACCCACCTCATATATGGGGAAAGGGGCCAAGGGAGGATCAAAAGGGATGTAGCCGAGGGCGGCTTTTCGGGCCGTGAGATCGTAGGTGTTGAAAACTGAAGACCAAGTGTGCAGATCCAGGAAAAACAGATAATGGTGCATTGGACGGAAGGCTTATCGGACTAACATGGAGAATCATATGCAGACGATCTATCTACAGGGAGCGCAGAGGAAGATCGTCGAATTGATGGGGAACTTGTGTGCATCGAACCAATCGATGTTCTCGGTGTGTGCCTCTGCTCCATTGTTCGTATTCCAGCTCGACTCTAGCGAATCGTACCAAAGTACGCGTGGCAGCAGCCACTCAGATATTACACCAGTGGCATAGTTTACCACGCACTGGTCCTTGGAAACTAGCATATGTACCAACAAGTCATCAGTTTAGGTACAGCATAAAGCCTATCATCTTTTCCAAGATTAGTCATCCAGTCACTGACGTGTTTGGCGGTTCTCGGCGGTCTTTCGTATCACTTGTACCCACGCTAACCTGCTCTTTCGGTACATGACCCAAATCTAGTAAAAATAAAATAGTTGTTGATCCAAAGTGGCATGCCTCGTTGAAAGGTAGCCAACTCGAGGCTCGAGATAAGTGTAAGCGCTTTGCTCCAGTGCCCCGACAGATAGTTCTTTTGGAGTTTCTAGTAGCAAGTAGTATCTAATGAGTTTTCCAAACAGTATCCACCCTAGTTTTTTTTTGTCTGAAAGGCTCGCAACGAATATGATACATTGATAAGTTTTTAAGTTTCTTAATGTCAAGGATCACATCCTCATACCTCATGGTATAAATAAAAACGCTCAAAATGCATATATGAGTAATTACCTACGTGGGTTAATTCCTGTAAAAAGACCCAAGTTTAACGGTGGTCCCAATACCTGCCACGCGTTCCGCGTGCCCTCGATCTACGCTTTAACTCTAAATCTCACTTACTCTTTGCTACCTGCTACTCAAGACGACTTCTTCCTCTTCTCCTGTATTCCCCCTACTCCTGTGAAGCGCGTAAGTTGAATCGACACTTAAAAAGGAAAGTTCCTGTTAACGTCCGTTTTAAAAATTATTCGCTCGTGTTTTCAGTGCAGCTGTTGGCTTTATCGGATGATATATAAATAGACAGGTTGAATATTAAGTTTAGAGATGATTGGAGCATATGCAGTAACTGTGCCGGCTTACCTGCAATCGAATATCCGTTCAAGACTTAGAATACAGAATAGAGTCATCGGAGATATTAATAGTCTGCATGGCGCATACAGGAGCTATTGTCGGGAAGAAGGTGGGCCATACTAACAAATGTAGAATTGCGCTGGCAACTTCACCAAAAAGCCGTTCTTTGTAGTCGATCGCTGTTGCTCCTCAAAGGAGAAGTCTAATTTTCTTTTGACTGCTACATTCGCTTATTTGCCGATAAAATGTCCGATAATGATGGAATTATCGCTAGATGAATGCCCGACCAAAATCCAGATCATGTACGAATACGAGCCAAAAACACGTTACCTCATATCTGTAAGTACCATTATTTGTTCTACCTGATTAAGTAGGACCCTCAAGTACCAGACATCGGAACCTCAAAGGTATCACTGCCTTCACACATGTACTGCTAGTTACTAAAGCGTAAACCCCGTTTATAATAACTCGTCGTCAAGACTCGAGGAACAACGGCGTCCTTCTCGGCTTCTATGATTTTTACCGGGCTAATGGCGGGCCAAAGTTCGTCTAA